CAAATGCGATGGGTCTCTGAGTATGGATTTCCCAAAACCATCGTATCCGACAGAGATGTTCAGTTCACCAGTCTACAATGGCAGAAGTTGATGGAAATCTATGGGACCAGGTTGACCATGTCGTCAGACCGACGTCCCGAAACGAATGGCCAAACTGAGCAAATGAATTGTCTCTGCCAACAACTTTTGCGAATGTATGTTCGTCCTGACCAAATTGATTGGGATGAGAACTTGCCTAAAATTGCTATTGCTTATAATAACAGTATACATACTGTCACAGGTAGAACGCCTAACGCACTGCATAAAGGATGGAAGCCTAGGCGTCTCATTGATGCACTAACCAGGGACCAGATTCAAAGGCTACCCCCAGGGACGCGTGAATTCGCAGTTTTGTACGAAGAAGACATCAAGAAGGTGAAGGAAAACATACAGAAATCCCAACTGCAAATGATAGAACAAGCTAATAAACATCGTCGTCCTTCACAGTTCCAAGAAAGGGACTTTGTTTGGGTTAAGTTCTCCTTAGAAGAAAATGTGTCTCCGAAACTGCTACCTGTCTACTACGGACCCTGAGAAGTTCTCACAGTGCTTGGAGGTGAAGATGGACCTTCCTATCGTATAGATATACCTCCACATCTAAGGACATACCCTGTCTTTCATACGTCTAAACTGCTACCCTATGTAGAAAGTGACAACTTTCCGAATAGACCATCTCCATTTCCACCCTCTATGAATGGCGGCTATGAAGTTGAAAGGATATTGGAACATGGCTATTTTTCTATGGGTGGTAGAGGACGACCTCAGAAGCAGTACAAGGTAAAGTTAAGTCCCAACCTCCATCTGAAGCAAGATGGTTTAGTAGGAAATAACTCCTACCCACTGCTCTTGACATTGTTGCTGCTTATGAACGTGGGTTAAATGAAGATTGATATATTTCTGCGATGGAACTCGAATTTTGGGCCGGCAGGAATGCAATAACCCATGTAGGAAGCCTCGTGGAATCTAAAGGCCTCGCCAGGCCACACCCAAGCCCAGGCCAAAATGGGGGAAAAGACCCCAGCAAAGATTCAGGGCCTGGACGAGGAACAATTGACAAAAAGTCAACTGTCAGAAACCCCAACAGTCAAAGTCAAGTGTACCCAGCCCAGGCCGCTAGTCGGACACGCACAATTGTTTGTATGTTGGTACCCAGACAGCATCAGGTCCAAGGGGGAAAATCTACAACTGTACAATCCAGACCTTCGGCTGTGAAGCAATCTGGACGACTGAGGGGAGGGGACCCGAGGCCAAAGAGTCTCGTCAAACGCTACTTAAAGACTGGCCTCGAGGTGGTCAACATTCAGTCTTGCTATGCTACTTTGACGATGGCTCAACTTTAACTAGACGCTGGCATTATGCTGGCTCGACGCTGGCTAGACGTTGGCTGTGCATTGGTGATGTGGACAACGGCATGAGGTGGAGGCAGCATGCTGGCGCTTTCTGCATTGTGCGCCAGGCTTGCTGAGGTGGCATGCTGACGTGGTGCTACCACTGGTCTACATTGCATGCTGATGTGGCACTACCACTGGTCTACCTTGCATGCTGATGTGGCGCTACCACTGGTCTACACTGCATGCTGATGTCGCGCTACCTCTGGTCTACCTTGCATGCTGATGTGGCGCTACCTCTGGTCTACATTGCATGTTGAGTGGTGCTACCTCTGGTCTACACTGCTTGCTGATGTGGCGCTACCTCTGGTCTACATTGCATGCCGATGTGGCGCTACCTCTGGTCTACATTGCATGTTGACATGGCGCTACCTCTGGTCTATAGTGCATGCTGATGTGGTGCTGCCACTGGTCTCCATTGCTGATGTGGCATATGCCACCTGTCTCGACTGTTGACATGGCATTGTCTACATGAGGTGGCTGGTTGCGAGGAGGAGGAAGATCCGGATCTGTGGACGAAGGAGGTCGTGTACTCACCTGAGGTTGACGTCGTCACTGGAATCTGCTATGTCTTCATGGTCTTCACGAGATAAAGGGCCACGTGGCACTGTGTGATCAGGAATATACTTATTATCATTGTTGACGTGGAGAGGGAAGAAGCCAGGAGAAGGAGAGGGGTTTGAAGGGATTATTACTGTGTAATCTTTCATCTTCTCCTTTGTTGTCTATTCCCCCTCCACTCTCTTCTTGTGATGGTAATGAGATACTGTTTGAGATATCTCTTCACGATTTGGAGACTTTGATGCAGATAATGAGACAACTGATGTTTGACGACTTCTGAGTATCTGCCAGACTGGGTTCATTGCAATGGCAAAAGAATCATATAATTCAGAAAATGGCAAAAGAATCAAATAATTCAGAAAATGGCAAAAGAATCAAATAATTCAGAAAATGGCAAAAGAATCAGAAGAACATGTCAAAAATTCTCAAAATTATATAAATCAGCTGGGATAGTTGGCTTTGGCCGGCCGTGTATAACTTGAAAGGCATTTCACGATGCAGACCCCAAATTTGAATCTCAGGGTCAAGTCCCCGAGCCAAAAGACGCCAGGTCGGCCTGTTTCAGAAAGGTTACGTCGGGTACCCCAGAGGTCGAGTCCAACAGGTACCCGATCAACAGTCACATCCCAGAGGCAGAGGTCATATCCCACAGGCAAGGGCCACAACCCACAGCCAAAGGTCACATCCCACAGACCCAAAAGCAGCAGCACACCAAGGAAAACTGGGGAAGGTACCGGGCCTCAACATTCTGAAGCAAACAGGCCGCGGGCAGCCGGTACCGGGTCCAAGTCAAGCCAAGAGAAGCAGAGGCTGGGGCGAGTCAAGGCTCAGTCCAAGTCAATATAGGGACTGGCCGGGCACATTTCGGACAGATTGCTCATTCACAAGAAATGTGGAAGTGCTGCTGAGGCGCTTGTGCGCTGCCCGCGAGTAGCTAGCGCTGGAGCCCTGGCTGGGCAGCGCTGTGCAGAGGAAGGAAGGTGGCCATAGCCGCACAGCTAGTAAGTAATAGGAGGTAGAGCTGAGTATCAGCGGATGTATCCAGAGTCAAGATCTCCAAGTAGAGAGAGAGAGAGAGAGAGAGAGAGAGAGAGAGAGAGAGAGAGAGAGAGAGAGAGAGAGAGAGAGAGAGAGAGAGTAGCAGCACATGCATGAAGAAGAGGGAGAGAGAAGTGAGACAGAGCGGAATATAGGGAGAGCCACTCACCTTGGATGACGATGCTGAATATGGGTTGCTCAACTCTGCATTGATGAGCGCTGGTGACTTGAACTCTGAAACTGTTTAATATGATAATTTGTTGGAATTTCTAAGCTGCGCTTATCTGGACTTTGCATCCCTGGTCTCCAGTGTGGATTTCGTGTGATCTCTCAATGCGTGTGTGTGCTCAAGGTGATGAACAGTGTGGTTCAGTGCAAACTAGATTGGAGTTTTTTTTTGTAGGTATTTCAAAACTTTTTTTACGGTTTTTTTTTTTTTTTTTAATTTTATTTGCCCTGCCTATGAGTGATGCACCGCCTGCTGTCGCATCTGTCAAGCAGGTCAGTGCCACTCTGCAAACAGGAGGGCCCATAAGCACCAAGCGGTACGTGGCTACAGCCTCTCCGCAGAGCCGGTCCACATCGAACTGGTACTAGATCTTCGGCCTCACTCCGCTACTCACCACATGCACAAAAGACAAAAAATATGGCAGTTTATTTTTTCCATGCTCTACAGAAGATTCATCCTCATTTTGCACATTCGGTGAGTAATGGAGCTGGGCCGCTTCTTCTTCTTCAACACTCTGTCCAGTCTTCATTTGTCAAACTTCCAAGTACATTTTTAAGTTTTGCCAACTTGATTTTAAAATTTAAAAACAATTTTACAACCAAACGTTTTATTCAGCACAATGTTCACAGAGAAGTGCCGAGGAGGCCTACTCCGTGAAACTTCATGTAACCTTCCTAATCTCTTCCAGAAGGGACAGAAGACATCGAGCGCACGTGGCTAAATAATACCCACATGTTAGTAAACAAAAGATAACGAGCTTGGTAAACAGATCACAAGTTCGAATCCCGACGGTATCAGCTAGACATAACAACAACAACGTTAAGGGCTACCCGTGTCTTCGAACAGAAAAGCAAAAAGAAAGGACAGACCATACCCACATCACATGTTAGCAAACAAAAGACCACGACTTCCGTAAACAGATCACTTTCTCCCACTTCGTGGCCTCTGGCAAAACAACCGTCGCGAAGTGTTCATCTTTCCCGCCCACCCCAGGGTGGGATGGTGTCGGCTCCATTCTTTTCTTGGTCAGGCAGCGAAGGAAGGCTGACGAGCAGAAAAAGGGATATGAACCCTCAACCTTCTTAGCCTTGGCAAGGCTATACTGTACCACTAAGCTATTTCCGCCATCAATCCACGAGTTCGAATCCCAACGGTATCAGCTAGACATAACAACAATGTTAAGGGCTACCCGCTTCGTCCAACAAAAAAGCCAAAAAAGAGAAAGGACAGAGCATACCCACATGTTAGCAAACAAAGATTCACTACCTAGTTCAGTAAACAGATCACGACTTTGAATCCTGATGGTATCATAACAACAATCTTGAGGGCTACCCAATTCTTCGAACAGAAAAGCAAAAAGAAAGGACAGAGCATACCCACATGTTTGTAAAAAAAAGATGCACTAACTAATTCGGGAAACAGATCACGAGTTCAAATACAGATGGAATCAGCTAGGTACAGCAACAATGTTAAGGCTTAACCGCTTCTTCGAACAGAAAAGCAAAAAGAAAGGACAGAGCATACCCACATGTTAGCAAACAAACGATTCACTACCTAGTTCAGTAAACAGATCACGACTTTGAATCCTGATGGTGTCACCTAGACATAACGACAATCTTGAGGGCGACCCGCTTCTTCGAACAGAAAAGCAAAAAGAAAGGACAGGGGGCGTGGAAGAGAGAGTGAGGTACCTCATCATTCATGACCCAACCACCACCAATTATCTCCAGCTGTCCGTTTTTTACCAAACTCTGGAGATCTCTCCTTGCTTGTAGAGTAGACTCCTCCCACCACTCCCGGAGAAATGACGTCTCCATCCAAATGAACCTTCTTTGTCGATCCTGGTCAACCCCATCAAAAGGGCATCATCATACACCACCAACAGCAACCAACCAGAAGTCACCAAGGATTGGCGGGACTGCGCATTACAGCTGTATCCAAGAAATTCATTCTACGCTTTCTTTTTCTTTTTTTTAATTCATTTTATACCAGTGCAGTAAACCCGGTAGGACCCGGGGGCTCTCCCCCAACCGGAACCAGACCGGTCCTACCGACCGGTTCCCCGCCCAAGCCCAGAGAGGGTGTTGTAGAGGCCAGGGACTAGACCCACGGTGATCACTGGCAGCAGCGGCAGCCGGTGGTTGTCCTGACAGGATAGGCCACCTTCCGTACCCTTCCCCACGTTAATGCTCCCAGCGGCCCTACCTTTTCTTCCATTTTATTTAATTTTATTCTTTTTTATCTTTTTTTCCCAGCCATGCTCTTAGTGCTGCGCACAAACACAACTTGACACCATCTTCTTCAGGAGCTTTTTTTTGTTTTTGGTCATTATATCCATCACGAATATCCGACACACAATCTGATAACCCTGATCCCGGTCAGGTCCACATGGCTCCAAGTTCCAGTCCTGGTACTTGTGTTCCTTTTTTTTCTATAATCTTGTGTTCTATCTCTCTGCTTTTCTCAGTTTTCAACAGTCCCACCAGTACCAGGGCTGGTCCCAATCCTGATCCCAGTTCTGATCCCAGTCCGGTCCCAGCCCTGATAAATTGCTCCAAAATCCCAGTCCTGGTACTTGTGATCCATCTCTCTGCTCTTTTGACAGTACCCACCCACCCTACTGCCCAGTAGTCCATGTGACTGAATAGCACACCTTACCACTGGTCCCAGGCCTGGTCCCAAGCCTGGTCCCAAGCCTGATCCCAGTCCTGATCCCAGTCCTGGTGCCAGTCCGGCCATATTGCTCCATCGCTCCAAGTCCCAGTGCTGGTACTTGTGTTCCATCTCTCTGCTTTTCTCTCTCATCAGTACCCCCCACCCTACTACCCAGTCCATGTGGCTGAATGGTACACAGTACCCCTTATGCGAGCCCTGGTCCCAACCCTGATCCCAGTCCTGCTCCCAGCCCTGGTGCCAATCCTGGTCCCCAGTCCAGACAGATGGCTCCCAGTCCCAGTCCCAGTCCCAGTCCAGTCCGGGTACTTGTGTTCCATCTGCTTTTCTCGTTTCTCAACGGTATCACCAGTACCAACCCACCCTACTGCCCAGCAGTCCATGTGACTGAATAGTACACAGTATACCCCTGGTCCCAGTCCTGGTCCCAAGCCTGACCCACCCCTGATCCCAGTCCTGATCCCAGTCCTGATTCCAGTCCTGGTGCCAGTCCTGGTCCCTTTCAGCATGTGGCTGAATGGGACACAGTACTACTCCCTCGTAACCGGGTTTTTTTTTTTTTAACCCTCGTAACTGTTAATCAATAGATCAGGGCCGAGGTCCCACTAGCAAAGAGGATAGGATCAAGCTCCTGCATCTGGATGTGTTTTATGCAGAGGTGCAGAGAAAAGCAGTTCAATCTCGATTTCCTGCACCTCTCCACAATCACGTCCAGATTCGGGCATTCGATCCGATCCTCTTTGCTAGTGGGACCACGCCCCAGGAGTTGCAATACTTATCTTTTTTTCTTTTTCTTTTTTTTTTGGGAGGAGTTGCAATTCTGATAGACGGATAAATAGGTGGAATTATCCAATCGTCTCTCGGGGGGAGGGGGGAGAGGAAAATCCCCAGTGTGTGTGCGCGTGTGTGATGATGTGCGTTGTCATGCTCGCTACACACAATTCCACAAAAAAAAAGGACGTGTGTGTGAGGAGGGCATACTCACACTAGGACATTTTCGACTCAGCTCTGGACACGATTCCAGTCAGATGCATTCAGGTCTGGCCGTAATTACGGTCAGATACGTTTAGGACAGTACTACTGTTGTGTGACTATGCCCTGAGAGTGTGTTGTTATGTTTGATGTATACACAACTCCACAAAAAGAAAGCATTAAAACAAATAAAATTAAAAAAAAAAAAGCATGATTTCTGTGAATGACCACGCTGCTGCCAGTTGGCTGTAGAAGAGCGCAAGGCCGTCGGCCATCTCTATACTCGGTGGTGGAATGATGGGTGGGTGGAAGCCGGCAGGCTACCGTCTTCCCCCGAACATAACGCTCCCTGATAATGAATGTATACAGACCATGTTTCCGTCCCGAACAGTCAAAAAAAGGGGTGCGTTGTGTTCGGGGGAAGAGGGCAGCTCGTGGTTTGCCTCCTGATGATGATACATCCGGCGGCGCGCAATCGGTCCAAAAACGTGCGTGGTCGAAACGTGCTCATATATGCGTGCATATAGAGAGAGGATATGCGCCCCCGAACATAACGCACCCAGATAATGAATGTATACAAGCTATATTTCCGGTCTGGTACAGTCAGGAGGGTGCGTTGTGTTCGGCAGAAACCGGTTGCTCGTGTTTTTTGCCCTCCTGATGATGCATCCGGCGCGCAAAACCGGTCCAAATACAGACCGTGGTCGAAACGTGGGTAAGAGGATATGCGCGTTCTGAATTCAACACACGAAGTTTATTTTGATGCGTGTACGAGAAGCAGTCTATGGCCACTGTTTTCACTATTCTTTTTCTTTTTCTTTTCTTTTTCTTTTTCTTTTTCTTTTTCTTTTCTTTTTCTTTTTCTTTTTTTTTTCGAAGGATGGGGGCCGTAATTGAGAGAAAGAAAAAAAAAGGGGGAAACTACGCGGGAGTCAGAAAAATGGGTTATAATTGCACTATGGGCCAAGATACAGTTTCGCATTGGAGTTCTGAATCTGGCAATGTATACAACCCAGTTTTCTGGCCAGGTGTAGGGTGGCCGAAGTGCAATTGCAAACTGTATCTTGGCCCATAGTGCAATTATTACTCGTTATTGTGACTCCACTAAAGTTACCCCAAGAAAAGAAAAAAAAAAAAAAAAAAAAGGAACAAATCCATAGCGAAGGACGAGGGGCAAAGTTGAAAAGAAAGGAACAATCCATACCAAACAGCAAAGGAGAGGAAGAACCCACAAACAGTAAGAGGAGGAGGAGGAGGAGGAGGAGGAGCAAGAGGAGGAGGAGGGGGA